CAAATCAGGAATGGTCTGGGNGAAGCCTGGTACTGTACTCCAAAAATAAACCGGAAATGCTTAATATCGCCATAACTAATGAGCCTAGAACCACAAATTTTGAGAATGGTACTCACGTTATTATTGTCAATAAGCATCCGTATTGAGTTCCGGTTGATCTGCTTCGAATATCCGGATAATGGTATTCGAAAATACTGAATTTTCAAATGCCCACAGAATCAACAGAAATGGTTCGATTTGCACGAAATTGACATTTTCTTAATCTATACATAAAACGGTTTACAAAAATGTATAACACTATTAGGATAAATTAAAAACTTTTCACAAAATTTAAAAAATATTCAAGAGCACAAATTCTCCACTTCCAATCAGTTTCATGCACAGGCCGACTTACAGGAGGAAAGTTAATTCCAAATCAGGAATGGTCTGGGGTCTGTCTACATGTGGGTGGTGGTGACGGAGACCAAGAGAATACACGTGTCTTCACATTTAACTCATTTTATTGGTACAGAAAGGATGCTTACTTAGTTTCCTGGGATTTACGGTTCTAAGAGCACAGTTTAGCTGCATGAGTGTCCTTCTGATGGGAGGGTGTGTCGATGCAGATCAGTTACGTCTTCACTGGAATGTAGTGATGCTAAGTTGCAGCCCTGGGGCTGAATATGAAGGGATGTCTATCAGATGGTGAAGATATGCATGCTGGTGACAGAGATGACGGTTGGAACCAAACAATTCAGCTGAAGCAAGAATGGTTTTGTTCCTTAGTGTGTCACGGGTTTTCACAACTCACACTATGGGGAAGATGTCTTTCTGACACACGGACATTGTGTCTGCATTGACACACAGTGTGCTGACTATCCAAGTGCTTTCACTAACAGAATACTAGTGCATTGTGTCCTTATCAGGAATTATATTAATCTCTGTTTTTCTATTGATCATTCTGATTGGTTGATCTCTCTCATCTGCACTTTCCAAGTGATTGCTTCCTTGTTACTAAGGATAACAGGATCCTGACTTGGATCACAGGAAAGGTCAAACTCGAAGTGAGTTTGATCTCCCAGCTGAAGATGGTCAATCTTAGAACTGCATTCTTTCTACAATTTATGACTTTACATTGTGTTTTAATATAAACAGAATCGGTGTGTAGCTTCTAACATGTTTTTCTTGCCTTTTAAAACAAATGAAAATTTGCGAATTTCATGACAGTTCAGACTCGTCTGGAACCTCACACGTTTGCTATGAAAACAACAAAATAGATGATTTGCAAACAATAAAAAACTCTTTTACAGACAAATTAATACCAAAACAACCAATGATATACAGCACAGTGGCAACAGAAGAAGAACTCACAAATTATTGGTCTTCTCAGTGCTGTCACACAATGCTGATGCAGAATTGAGATGGAGAGCAAAAACTTGCACAACATACCAACTATGCCATGTGCTGAAATAAATGTACTGTAAGTGACATTTGATATGCTATTAACAGAACACATAACTGGAAGACACCTGGTGTAGACAACATTCACAATTTCTGGTACAAAAAATTTACATCACTGCACCAGAAACTAGCTAAACACCTTACATCATCATCAGTCCAAAAGACATGTAGAATTTTTTACTCAGGGCATCACCTACATGAAACCTAAAAACAAAGATACCACAGACCTCACACAATATAGATTAAGTAATGTCTTTCAACACTATAAATTCTGTGTGTAGCGTCCTTGTAATCCAAAAAATGATCCTTGGTAGACGACCAAAACAGCAATTGGTTAGGAAAATATTATGGTTTATTTAAAACAGTTTTTATTCAAATGCATTTCGGGTTGGTTTATGTTTCCAACCCCTCCTCAGTGATGTCATATAATGGAACATCTTAAAATTGTGTTACTATGTTTTTATCACAGGTGTATGACAGTTAATATGAATTATTCCCGACAAAAGGTACAACAGTAAAACTGACAACTGGTGTTATCTGGTGTTCACAGAGTAATAGTATACTGACAAGCCATTTTGGATTACAAAGACACTACATACAGAATTTGAACATACAGCAACCATACCTTCTACATTAAGAACTCTATAAATTATTGACTTACAGTATTACTAACACAATGTATGAATATGTTGAAGAACACAACATTTTTATGGAGCAACAAAAATGTTGTCTTAGAAATCACAGAGGATGCAAAGAACAGTTACTCATAGATGCATTCATTCTACGGCAAGCACACAAACAACACAGAAACATACACATGGCATATATAGACTACAGAAAAGCATTCGACAGTGTTCCACACAGTTGGCTGCTACATATTCTACACATGTACAAAATACATCCAT